GTACAGATACTCACAGGTACAGATACTCACAGGAACAGACACTCACAGGTACAGATACTCACAAGTACAGATACTCATAGGTACAGATACTCACAGGAACAGACACTCACAAGTACAGATACTCATAGGTACAGATACTCACAGGTACAGATACTCACAAGTACAGATACTCACAGGTACAGATACTCACAGGTACAGATACTCACAGGTACAGATACTCACAAGTACAGATACTCATAGGTACAGATACTCACAGGAACAGACACAGGTACAGATACTCACAGGTACAGATACTCACAGGTACAGATACTCACAAGTACAGATACTCATAGGTACAGATACTCACAGGTACAGATACTCACAAGTACAGATACTCACAGGTACAGATACTCACAAGTACAGATACTCACAGGTACAGATACTCACAAGTACAGATACTCACAGGTACAGATACTCACAAGTACAGATACTCACAGGTACAGATACTCACAGGTACAGATACTCACAGGTACAGATACTCACACGTACAGATACTCATAGGTAGAGATACTCACCAGTACAGATACTCACAGGTACAGATACTCACAGGTACAGATACTCACAAGTACAGATACTCACAGGTACAGATACTCACAGGTACAGATACTCACAGGTACAGATACTCACAGGTACAGATACTCGCAGGTACAGATACTCGCAGGTACAGATACTCGTAGATACAAACACTCGCAGGTACAGATACTCACAAGTACAGATACTCACAGGTACAGATACTCACAGGTACAGATACTCACAGGTAAATATACTCACAGGTACAGATACTCACAAGTAGAGATACTCACAGGTACAGATACTCACAAGTACAGATACTTACAGGTACAGATACTCACAGGTACAGATACTCACAGGTACAGATACTCACAGGTACAGATACTCGTAGATACAGATACTCACAGGTACAGATACTCACAGGTACAGATACTCACAGGAACAGATACTTACAGGTTCAAATACTCACAGGTACAGATACTCACAAGAACAGATACTTACAGGTATAGATACTCACAGGTACAGATACTCACAGGTACAGATACTCACAGGAACAGATACTCACAGGTTCAGATACTCACAGGTACAGATACTCACATGTACAGATACTTACAGGTATAGATACTCACAGGTACAGATACTCACAGGTACAGATACTCGCAGGTACAGATACTCGTAGATACAAATACTCGCAGGTACAGATACTCACAAGTACAGATACTTACAGGTATAGATACTCACAGGTACAGATACTCACAGGTACAAAAACATGTACAGATACTCACAGGAACAGATACTCACAAGTACAGATACTTACAGGTATAGATAATCACAGGTACAGATACTCACAGGTACAAATACTCACAGGTACAAATACTCACAGGTACAGATACTCACAGGTACAGATACTCACAGGTACAGATACTCACAGGTACACTTACATACGCTGCACCAGACTGGGACACAGACTATGCTAAACATTTGTCGAGTCTGGAGATAATGAAGCTCTTACCAGGCGTCAGTTCCTTTCCCTCTTTCCTCCTCTTCTCGTTACCATCCTTCCTCCCCACCTCCATCCCTTCCAACTTCTCCCTCTCTCTCTCCTTGTCCCTCTCCTCTCTCTCTGTCCCTCTCCTCTCTCCCCTCCCTCTCTCTCTCTCTCTCTCTCCTCTCTCTCTCTCTCTCTCTCTCTCTCTCTCTCTCTCTCTCTCTCTCTCTCTCTCTCTCTCTCGGCTCTCTTCTCTCTCTCTCTCTCTCTCTCTCTCTCTCTCTCTCTCTCTCTCTCTCTCTCTCTCTCTCTCTCTCTCTCTCTCTCTCTCTCTCTCTCTCAATTCACTTCGGTTCCTTCAATTCACATATCGTTTATCCACATCATTTTGCTACTTTTTCTACTTATTAAACATGTATATATTGAACAAATCCACAAGGGCCGTGACGAGGATTCGAACCTGCGTCTAAGAGCATCCCAGACGTGTAATGTGTATATTGATCCGGAAGCAGGCGATGAGTCACAATAACGTGGCTGAAGTATGTTGACCAGACCACACACTAGAAGTTGAAGGGACGACGACGTTTCGGTCCGTCCTGGACCATTCTCAATTGTTCCGGCAGTTATCGCTTTATTTTGCGTGTATATTTATCCATTCCTTGTATGTGTTGTTGTATATTTTTGTGTGTATATTCTCTGTGGGCTGATTGACCAAAGGAGCGCCATGCTCATCAAGAGAAATTCGGTTAGTTATTTTTTTTTAAGTTATTAAAAAGACGTAAAACCGGTAATTGGTCACAGGACCTAACTTGAGAACTTTTTTCATACATTCAGACATACAAATTATGAATGAAAATACTTGGCAACCATATGTAATAAGCCCATTATATTTGGGTCTTTTTGGGCTGGTATGTTATTATTTTTTGGGGTGGTGTGCTTATAATTTTTTTTAACAGCCAGGTAGACAGTCAGGCGGACTGCCAGGTGGACAGTCAGGTGGACTGCCAGGTAGACAGTCAGGTGGACAGTCAGGTGGACAGTCAGGTGGACAGTCAGGTAGACACCCAGGGGTAGAGAGACACAGGTAAACCGGTCACGAAAGCCCAAAAAAAGACCAAACAGGTAGAATATTAAATGACGGAAAAACATGAGAGAAATGAATAAATAAGAGTAGATTAAGAGAGAGACGCGGGCAGAGTGGAGGGAACACCGGGACACGAACAACACGAGGCTCTGTAATTGGCTTACTAGCACGGTCCGTGTTGGACATGGTCATGTACTCTCTCTCTCTCTCTCTCTCTCTCTCTCTCTCTCTCTCTCTCTCTCTCTCTCTCTCTCTCTCTCTCTCTCTCTCTCTTTTTTCGAAGAAATTCGTCCATTTTCATTTATCTGTATTTATTTCCTATTCTATTCATCCATTTCGTCGCAATTATAATTTCCGGAGTTGCAGAAAGATACACAATAATAACAGTGAAACATAATTCAGAAGACGGAACATAAAATATATAAAAAAATCATGTTAATTACAACCCAATTTGCATAATAAGTGCCAATTCGTGAATTTTTACTTGTGAATTGCCAAGGTCTTTTGATGGTTGATGAGGGCGGTTCTTCAGGCATAACTCACTGCCGCTAGTTTACATTAGTTATGGTTAAAATGCTGCTATGAAGGTGAGAGAGAGAGAGAGAGATGAGAGAGAGAGAGAGCGAGAGAGAGAGAGGAGCGAGATCGAGAGAGAGAGGAGTCGAGGCGAGAGAGAGAGAGCCGGAGAGAGAGAGAGAGGAGAGAGAGAGAGAGAGAGAGAGAGTACCACGACCCAGATTGAGTTCTAATTCTCATCATCCTCCACAAAGATGTAATCCGTCATTATGTGAATACTGCACACCAATGCGGATAGTATTATAAATAAGTCAGGAGAACTACATGAGAAGGTGCAAAAGATTTAACCGCACATCATTGTAATTACAGCTAAGAAACAAAATAATCACTGGCAATGCATTCTTTCCAAGCGGCTACCAAGTGGTCAAGGAAGACTGGGGAAAGAGGGAGAGGAGCACTGTTGAAAAAATTATTTGGAGATATGAAGAAATACTCATGGGAGTATTGGATAATCCACAGGGATTATTGATATGTTAATTATAGAGTGGCCCAGAGAGTCGTATTATGAGAGCAACTATAATATTCTATAATAGGTGTAATTGAAATAGTATGACAAGACCAGATATTTCTGAGGGTGTTAAAAGACAGTGCTAAGATACTGTTCCTACCTACTGACTAAAGCCTATTATATGAAATAGAAATTAGGCAGCCTAATTTAATTAGGCTGCCTGCCTAATTTAAGTAGGCAGGCTACTAGAATTTAATAAAAGAAAGTGTGAAACAGAAAGGACATGGAGAAGGGAGGGAGCAACAGCAGGCCAGCACAGTTTCCGAGGGAGGCAGGTGTAGGAGTAAAATATAGAAAAGGATCTTTGAGTGAATGCAACACCAGATGAACTCACTGGTCAAAGAACATCAGCTGCGTATGCAACACTTTGCAAAGCAATAAGGAAGGCTTTTATAGACCCTGACGAAGGCTTCCTTCAGAATAAAGCATGTAACAATTGTACTCTGACCTGTCTTAGAGTATGTAGCCCCGGCCTGACACCCACTCCGGGTAGACCTTAACAAAACAATTGAGAATACGTGAAAGATTCGCCAGATATAAGGTAACTTAGTAATTACGACAAAGTGAACTAAAATAACGACATTCCAAGATAAATACAGAGGTGATATGATCACAACATCAAGATACCTATTCGTACTTAAATGAATAGTGTCTTTTCCAGGTGTGGGGACAGGAGACTCACGAGGCAAAAGGGGGAAATTAGACACACAGATGAACCCGAGGCACACAACATTATGCATACACTGGGTAGTAAACAGAGTGAGATGAGCCGAGACCGAAAGTGACGGCAAAAAGCACCAATCACAGCTTCATGAACACGTATGAAAGAGAACTGAGAAGTCAGGGACATAAACGCTATGAACCGGGGTTCTAGAGCCCAATCTTACTCCTCGTAGACACATCTTAGTAAGCACAGACACACACAGAAATCACAATTGCGTGATGCATCAAATGCAATCTCCTTTTGACCATGTCGTAGCTCAGTCGATTAAGGCAGCGTCTGGGATGCTCTCGGACGCAGGTTCGAATCCTCGTCACGGCCCTTGTGGATTTGTTCATAGGGACAGACATAAATACATACATTTATACACACACATAAATTCACAAGCATATTCATGAACACATAAACATATTCATGAACACATAAACATATTCATGAACACATAAACATATTCATGAACACATAAACATATTCATGAACACATAAGCCATATACATACGTGCATACCTAAATACCGTGCATATACAGAGTATGGTGCGCACAGTGCCAGCACTAACAGTTTACTGGCTCACAGGACATTCCCAGCACGGGCGTGGATAAATGGTACCCCCTGGAGGGCCGCTCGCATAGGTCCAACATCCAGGGCCAGATTAACCTCAAGATGTGGCTCTCTACCCGCGAGGACAGGTGAGTACGAGCGAGGACAGGTGAGAAAGAGCGAGGACAGGTGAGTAAGAGCGAGGACAGGTGAGTAAGAGCGAGAACAGGTGAGTAAGAGCGAGGAAGGTGAGTAAGAGCGAGGACAGGTGAGTAAGAGCGAGGACAGGTGAGTAAGAGCGAGGACAGGTGAGTAAGAGCGAGGACAGGTGAGTAAGAGCGAGGACAGGTGAGTAAGAGCGAGGACAGGTGAGTAAGAGCGAGGACAGGTGAGTAAGAGCGAAGACGGATAGATCAGTGTAGCGGATAATTTTAAGGTGAATAGTTTAATGTACTAATATTATTAAATTATTAGTTAAACGTAATTTTAACATGGTTTATCTCTCCCTCCCCCCCCCTACCCCCTTCCTCTCTCTCACCTCCATTCTTCCCTCCCTCCCTCCCTCCCTCCTCCCTAACCTTCACTCTCCTCTTATCCTCCTCCTCTGACCCTCTATCCATCACTCTACCTCATAATTCTTCCTTTTCCCTTCGCTCTTACCCCCTTTTCCATTCTCTCTCTCTCCCTCCCTCTCTCTTCCTTTCTCCCTCTCCCTTACCTCTCCCACCAGAGGCACGTCGGAGGAAGAGGTGACGGCCGAGGTGCGGCAACATGACCAGATCATCACTACTTTCCTCCTGCACGAGCTCACCAAGTTCAAGGTAGGTCACCAGGGTCAGGGTGGGTCACTAGGGTCAGGGTGGGTCACCAGGGTCACGGTAGGTCACCAGGGTCATTGTAGGTCACCAGGGTCACGGTAGGTCACCAGGGTCAGGGTAGGTCACCAGGGTCACGGTAGGTCACCAGGGTCACGGTAGGTCACCAGGGTCACGGTAGGTCACCAGGGCCAGGGTAGGTCACCAGGGTCACGGTAGGTCACCAGGGTCAGGGTGGGTCACCATGGTCAGGGTAGGTCACCAGGGTCAGGGTAGGTCACCAGGGTCAGGTTGGGTCACCTGGGTCAGGGTAGGTCACCAGGGTCAGGGTGGGTCACCAGGGTCAGGGTGGGTCACCTGGGTCAGGGTAGGTCACCAGGGTCACGGTAGGTCACCAGGGTCAGGGTGGGTCACCAGGGTCAGGATAGGTCACCAGGGTCACGGTAGGTCACCAGGGTCACGGTGGGTCACCAGGGTCAAGGTGAGTCACCAGGGTCAGGGTGGGTCACCAGAGTCAAGGTAGGTCACCAGGGTCAAGGTAGGTCACCAGGGTCAGGGTAGGTCACCAGGGTCACGGTGGGTCACCAGAGTCAGAGTAGGTCACGGTATGTCACCAGGGTCAGGGTGGGTCACCAGGGTCACGGTGGGTCACCAGGGTCAGGGTAGGTCACCAGGGTCAAGGTAGGTCACCAGGGTCACGGTAGGTCACCATGGTCAGGGTAGGTCACCAGGGTCACGGTAGGTCACCAGGGTCAAGGTAGGTCACCAGGGTCACGGTAGGTCACCATGGTCAGGTTATGTCACCAGGGTCACGGTAGGTCACCAGGGTCAGGGTAGGTCACCAGGGTCAGAGTGGGTCACCAGGGTCAGGGTAGGTCACCAGGGTCAGGGTAGGTCACCAGGGTCAGGTTGGGTCACCTGGGTCAGGGTAGGTCACCAGGGTCAGGGTGGGTCACCAGGGTCAGGGTGGGTCACCTGGGTCAGGGTAGGTCACCAGGGTCACGGTAGGTCACCAGGGTCAGGGTGGGTCACCAGGGTCAGGATAGGTCACCAGGGTCACGGTAGGTCACCAGGGTCAAGGTGAGTCACCAGGGTCAGGGTGGGTCACCAGAGTCAAGGTAGGTCACCAGGGTCAAGGTAGGTCACCAGGGTCAGGGTAGGTCACCAGGGTCACGGTGGGTCACCAGAGTCAGAGTAGGTCACTAGGGTCACGGTATGTCACCAGGGTCAGGGTGGGTCACCAGGGTCACGGTGGGTCACCAGGGTCAGGGTAGGTCACCAGGGTCAAGGTAGGTCACCAGGGTCACGGTAGGTCACCATGGTCAGGGTAGGTCACCAGGGTCACGGTAGGTCACCAGGGTCAAGGTAGGTCACCAGGGTCACGGTAGGTCACCATGGTCAGGTTATGTCACCAGGGTCACGGTAGGTCACCAGGGTCAGGGTAGGTCACCAGGGTCAGAGTGGGTCACCAGGGTCAGGGTAGGTCACCAGGGTCAGGGTATGTCACCAGGGTCAGGTTGGGTCACCTGGGTCAGGGTAGGTCACCAGGGTCAGGGTGGGTCACCAGGGTCAGGGTGGGTCACCTGGGTCAGGGTAGGTCACCAGGGTCACGGTAGGTCACCAGGGTCAGGGTGGGTCACCAGGGTCAGGATAGGTCACCAGGGTCACGGTAGGTCACCAGGGTCACGGTGGGTCACCAGGGTCAAGGTGAGTCACCAGGGTCAGGGTGGGTCACCAGAGTCAAGGTAGGTCACCAGGGTCAAGGTAGGTCACCAGGGTCAGGGTAGGTCACCAGGGTCACGGTGGGTCACCAGAGTCAGAGTAGGTCACTAGGGTCACGGTATGTCACCAGGGTCAGGGTGGGTCACCAGGGTCACGGTGGGTCACCAGGGTCAGGGTAGGTCACCAGGGTCAAGGTAGGTCACCAGGGTCACGGTAGGTCACCATGGTCAGGGTAGGTCACCAGGGTCACGGTAGGTCACCAGGGTCAAGGTAGGTCACCAGGGTCACGGTAGGTCACCATGGTCAGGTTATGTCACCAGGGTCACGGTAGGTCACCAGGGTCAGGGTAGGTCACCAGGGTCAGAGTGGGTCACCAGGGTCAGGGTAGGTCACCAGGGTCAGGGTGGGTCACCAGGGTCAGGGTGGGTCACCAGGGTCAGGGTGGGTCACCAGGGTCACGGTAGGTCACCAGGGTCAAGGTGGGTCACCTGGGTCAGGCTGGGTCACGGTAGGTCACCAGGGTCAAGGTAGGTCACCAGGGTCACGGTAGGTCACCAGGGTCAGGGTGGGTCACCAGGGTCAGGGTGGGTCACCAGGGTCAGGGTGGGTCACCAGGGTCACGGTAGGTCACCAGGGTCAAGGTGGGTCACCTGGGTCAGGTTGGGTCACCAGGGTCACGGTAGGTCACCAGGGTCACGGTTGGTCACCAGGGTCAAGGTGGGTCACCAGGGTCACAGTAGGTCACCAGGGTCAAGGTAGGTCACCAGGGTCAAGGTGGGTCACCAGGGTCACGGTGGGTCACCAGGGTCAGAGTAGGTCACCAGGGTCAGTCACCAGGGTCAGAGTAGGTTACCAGGGTCAGGGTCAGTCACCAGGGTCACGGTGGGTCACCAGGGTCAGAGTAGGTCACCAGGGTCAGGGTCAGTCACCAGGGTCAGGGTGGGTCACCAGGGTCAGGGTAGGTCACCAGGGTCAAGGTAGGTTACCAGGGTCAAGGTAGGTCACCAGGGTCAGGATAGGTCACCAGGGTCAAGGTAGGTCACCATGGTCAAGGTAGGTCACCAGGTTCAGGGTAGGTCACCAGGGTCAGGGTAGGTCACCAGGGTCAGGGTGGGTCACCAGGGTCAGGGTAGGTCACCAGGGTCAGGGTGGGTCACCAGGGTCAGGGTGGGTCACCAGGGTTATGGTGGGTCACCAGGGTCACCAGGGTCAGGCTGGGTCACCAGGGTCCGGTTGGGTCATCAGGGTCACGGTACGTCACCAGGGTCACGGTAGGTCACCAGGGTCACGGTAGGTCACCAGGGTCAGGGTGGGTCACCAGGGTCAAGGTAGGTCACCAGGGTCAAGGTAGGTCACCAGGGTCAGGATAGGTCACCAGGGTCAAGGTAGGTCACCAGGGTCAGGATAGGTCACCAGGGTCAAGGTAGGTCACCAGGGTCAGGATAGGTCACCAGGGTCAAGGTAGGTCACCAGGGTCAGGGTAGGTCACCAGGGTCAGGGTGGGTCACCAGGGTCAGGGTGGGTCACCAGGGTCAGGGTGGGTCACCCGGGTCAGGGTGGGTCACCAGGGTCAGGGTGGGTCACCAGGGTCAGGGTGGGTCACCAGGGTCAGGGTGGGTCACCAGGATCAAGGTGGGTCACCAGGGTCAGGCTGGGTCACCAGGGTCCGGTTGGGTCACCAGGGTCACGGTAGGTCACCAGGGTCACGGTAGGTCACCAAGGGTCAGGGTGGGACACGAGGGTCAGGGTGGGTCACCAGGGTCAGGGTGGGTCACCAGGTTCAAGGTAGGTCACCAGGGTCAATGTAGGTCACCAGGGTCAGGGTAGGTCACCAGGGTCTGGGGTAGGTCACCAGGGTCAGGGTAGGTCACCAGGGTCTGGGGTAGGTCACCAGGGTCAGGGTAGGTCACCAGGGTCAATGTAGGTCACCAGGGTCAAGGTAGGTCACCAGGGTCAATGTAGGTCACCAGGGTCAGGGTAGGTCACCAGGGTCAGGGTAGGTCACCAGGGTCAGGGTAGGTCACCAGGATCAGCGCAGGTCACCAGGGTCAGGGTAGGTCACCAGGGTCAGCGCAGGTCACCAGGGTCAGGGTAGGTCACCAGGATCAGCGCAGGTCACCAGGGTCAGGGTAGGTCACCAGGATCAGCGCAGGTCACCAGGGTCAGGGTAGGTCACCAGGATCAGCGCAGGTCACCAGGGTCAGGGTAGGTCACCAGGATCAGCGCAGGTCACCAGGGTCAGGGTAGGTCACCAGGATCAGCGCAGGTCACCAGGATCAGCGCAGGTCACCAGGGTCAGGGTAGGTCACCAGGGTCAGGGTAGGCTGCTAGCTGATGATCACTCCCATCAACCCGTCCTCTCATCTAATGTCTCATTTTCTTCGCTTTGGTCCCCAACTTACAAAATAAAATATACTATGAAAAGTAACAGCTCAAAAATGCCAAAGTTTTATATACATATGTTAGTTAGGTTTGGTGGGTGACTTGGGCACCTGCGTTATAGTACCCTTTACATGTTGTGGTAAATCAAGGAACCGGGTTCACCTTCCTTCCCATCTCCCACCCCTCCCTTGACTACCTACCTATCCCTCCCCAGCCCTCCACTCCGTCTCCGAGCCACAATTAAAAGCGGTAATTAATCAGGAAGTTGGTAGTGGTGGGGAAATTTGAAAGCTGTGAGCGGGGCGGCGGAGAGTGGCGGCCATGCACCTGGGAAGCCGTCTCCGAGGATCTACGCCTTCCTACAAGAAATGTTCCGCCGTGTATTCCTCAGACTATACCTCAAAGTTCCGTTTATCCTACAAGTTTGATTGGGATAAAAGCTCAATTACTTTCATTGAAACAATTCAGAATGATTAGCTAGCAACCTTGCAACACTTCCACTTTGGTGCTATAGAGCACCTAAGACTTCTTTTCACTACAGACTTCTTTTTGAGGATATGAGTTCCTGCTCGTGGGCTCCGCCTCTTATGAAGTTTGTGATTGCTCATTCAATTTTGCTGCTCGCTTCATCCACTCCATTATGTGTAATTATAGAGGCTATTATTAGGATACTAGTGAAATACCCGGAAGACTTACCACCATAAGGAACTGTTCACTCCTGAACAAGTTCTCCTTTTGAAGCGTCAGCATCAAGTTAGAGAGTTCTGAAAATTGCCGTAACTCATTGTGTTGTGGGCAAACTATCGTGGGTCATCACTAAACAAATTAATGATCTGTCAAATGACACTCAAGAGGGTACATGACTCCCTTAATAGGATGCATGACTCCCTTAAGAGGGTACA